CGCTTGTCAAGATTCCTCTTCCTGATGTAGTGCCAACATCTCAAGATCGCCCAAGGCCTATGGAACCATCGAATGAGGAAATTCCTCGCTCTCCAACTACAATTCGATACACCGCCACACCATCGCTCTGATCTGCTTGAATTTGTGACCTAATCTGTTGATTTGATGGATGAATCGCTGAGGATCCAACTATGACAAATAGACAACGTTTAGAAAAGATATAATAAGAGTTCCAGCTATCCCGAGGGGAAAGGCTGGACAACTCCACATTGAGTCAGTCCTCATTCGCTCAGAACATATAGGAGAAGCAAATAATAATGAACTTTCACCTCCTATCATCATAGGACTTTGATGGTAGCATCGACCTGATAGAGCCCACTACCTTTCATGCCTATATGTAGTTGTATGACACCTGGAATGCCCTAATATGCCACGCCTTCCCGACAACGTTAAGAGGCCCAATATGAGAATGGTACACTTGCTTGAAGCCTCTCAAAGTCAGCCTCCTTCACGTAGCTTGCAAAGAAGTTCGAGTTCTACTTTCTTGGGAATGTGCACCGAAGCCATTGGCGATAATACTTCTTAGACTCAAGCAACGGGACGAAAAAAACACTCTCCGACTTTGTTACTCGATTTGCAAATGAGATTCAAGGCGTGCAAGAAGCTCATCCATTAATTGTAATACAAGCCTTCATGATGGGACTCAAGCGCTCTCACATTTTTTTATTGTTATTGGAGAGGCCACTAGTGATGATGCTTGAGGTACTCTAGAGGGTCAACCAATACACTATTGTGGAGACAATGGCCTTAAGTAAGCACAAGGAGATGCATAAAAAGGCCAAGGAAAAATGTGCTTGAGGCATATGAGTATGAAAAACCTAACTTGCACCAAGATAAATCTGCTACAATGGAAGCTAGGGAAAAATGCGCTTGAGATGCGTGAGTTGGAAAAACCCGACTTACACAAAGAGAAATTCATTATGGCGGAGGCACAGGGCGAAATATGGTTGAGGCATATGAGTTAGAAAAACTTGACTTGTGCCAAGAGAAATTCGCTACAGTGAAAGTATAATGCAAAATTCGCTATGGCGGAGGGACAAAGTGAAATGTGCTCAAGGTATGTAAGTTAGAAAAACCTGACCTAGAAATATGCTATGGCAAAAGTGTATGGCGAAATACGACTAAGATATATGAGTTAGAAAAACTTGACTCGCGTGAGAAGAAATCCATCACGATAGAGGTACATGTGAAATGTGCTCAAGACACATGAGTTGGGAAAACCTAACCTACGTGAGAAGAAGTCCACCACAGTGGATGCATATGCCAAATGCACCCGAGATACGTGAGTCAGGAAAACTTGACCCGCGTGAGAAGAATTCCACTATGGAAAAGGTGCAAGATGAAATATGCTTGAGAGACATGAGTCAAGAAAACTTGGCCTACATGAGAAGAAATTCGCCATGATAGAAGAATATGGCTGAATGTGCTGGAGATGCATGAGTTAGGAAAACTCATCTCATATTAGAAGAAATCCGTCACGACAAAGGTATAAGACAAAATGTGCCTAAGATGTATAGGTCATGAAAACCCAACTTACGCCAAGAGAAATCCGCTACAGCAAAAGTGTAGGGCGAAATGCACCTAAGCCGTGTGGGTGAGGAAAACCCAACTCACGTCAAAAGAAATATATTATGATAGAGGTACAAGGCGAAATATATCTAAAGTATATGAGTCGGAAAAACCCGACTCATGCTAAGAGAAATCCACTATGGTAGAAGCATAGGGTAAAACGCGCTTGAGATCCATGAGAAGAAATCTATCATGGCAAAGGCAAAGGCGAAATGTGCTCAAGACTCATGAGTTAAGAAAACTCGACCCGCGTGAGAAGAAATTCGTCACTATGGAGGTATAGGTCAAATGTGCCCAAGACACGTGAGTCGAAATAACTCAACCCATATGAGAAAAAATCCACCATGGTAAAGGTGTAGGGCAAAATGTGCTCGAGATATGTGAGACAAAAAAACCTAACTTGCGTGAGAAGAAATCCATCACAACGAAGGCATAGGTCCAATGTGTTTGAGACAGGTGAGTCAGGAAAACTCGTCTCACGTAAGAAGAAATCCGTCATGGTGGAGGCATAAGGCAAAATGTGTATGAGGTGTGTGAGTTGAGAAAACCTAACCCACACTAAGAAAAATCCACTACGATAGAAGTGCAGGATGAAATGCGCTCGAGGTGTGTGGGTTGAGAAAACTTGACCCGTGCCAAGAGAAATTCACTACAACAGAGGCATAAGATGAAATGTGCCCATGATATATAAGTCGAGAAAACTCGACCAGCGATAAGAAAATCTGCTATGGTAGAAACATATGGAGAAATGCACCTGAGGTGTATGAGTTGGGAAAACCCAACCCACGCGAAAAAAAATCTACTATGGTGGAAGCATAGGGGGAAATGCGCTTGGGGCTTGTGAGCTGAGAAGACATGACTTATGTGAGAAGAAATCTATCATAGTGGAGGTATAAGTCAAATGTGCCCGAGATGCATTGGTCAGGAAAAGTCGACCCACCCATGTGAGAAGAAATCTTTTACAGTAGAAGCATAAGGCAAAATGTGCTCGATCTCGGTTACTAACTTAAATTTTGGAGAGATCGGATAAAGAAATTTTCCTCGATATCACCTCAAAGTCGTCTTGGATACTCCTATACCCTTGAGATTGAATCGTGTTGGATTAATTAAGACCTCGACAATGATTTTTCTTAACAGCCGCCCTCCTCTTTCCTACAGCTTTCTCACGTAGAGAACAGTCGTGATTCAAAGATAAGCAGTTGGTGTAGAACGGGAAGTTATTCTGTTCTTCGACAAAGAAAAAGATTCATCCCACATCATCAGTAGGAAGCTAGAAAGAAGCTGCTGATGTTGACTTCACACCCCGAATAATTATCATGTGATCTAACCAGGAGAAGTTGCAAGTATAATATGCATGAAGCATCAGCCACCAAACGAAAGTGATAATAAAATAAATATGCTTTCTGGAAAGCACACTTCATTTTCTATTTCATATTAGCATGGACTTCATCCAAACGTGTTAGCAGTGACGGTCGATGTCTTGAAAGCAGAAGATGTTATCCGGTTTGATGTACCAATGAATATCGTTTGGCATGATTGGTATGTATTGGTATGATAGAGCTTTATCAATTATTTTTTATTGAGCTTTATCATTTTTTATTGGTATGTATTGGTATGATTGGTATGTACCATTGTACCAATCAATACGTCAATCATTTTTTATTGAGCTTTATCAATTATTTGACCCGTATTAGGTTATACTAGATGATAACAATCGAAATCTGATCATTACCGATCTTATCAGTCGCGATGCTAAGATTGACATATTTCAAACGGTCAATTTAACCATTTGAGATTTAGGAAAAGATTTTTCAACTAATTTAAATCATTTTCTTTCTCCTCTTTCGACTCATTTCACTTTCTTAATTCCTTGAACTCTTTTAAATTTTTTTTACTCATATCTCTTTTTTATTCTCATATTTTTACTTTTCTAAACTCAGCAAAACATATAGTGTATCAATACACTATGTCGTAAGATTAATTTTAGGATTGAGTTTGACAAACATATCATATTAATGTACATATACATAGAATCGAGTATCATAATCCATCACTTGTAAAGTCTCGTCATTCTTTTTAGTAATAAAACTAAATATATCTATCGATTGATTACTTAGTTCATTTGAATCTTAAAGTTTAAGTTATATAAAAAAATAATCTAATAATTTAAATTTTTTTACAGATAATTTAATATTATCGGAAGAACGATTCGAAACATATCATAAAACTACTCCTTAATAATTTTTTGAGCGTGACATAGGCTCAAGACACTAAAATAATTCATGCAAATAAACTGCATGTCGAATAAGAAAAAAGAAAAAGAGATTATGCATCTATATTTCTTTCTTCCCGTTTTCCATTCTAGTCATTGAATGATAGATTGACTTAATGATGAGATCTCTAATCTCTTTGTATTAATATATATCGGGCCAAAAGGAGAATGGATTGTGTCAATCCTCCAACGACAGCAGTCAAAGGCAGACCAAAAACATGTAAATGATCCATTCAGTCTCTTCCCTTTTTGACATATCAAAACATTGCACTACCTCAAACAGGTGCTGCCAAGATAATTGGAATCATCCAATACAGGGAAATGGGTTGATGAGAAATAATCTTGGAAAAGGAGATTTAGATTCTATTTTTCTCAAGATTAATTCTCGAATACAGATTCTTTTAGTGTTCATCGGCACCACTAAAATTATTTAATAGAGAAGAAAAATTATTCTTCTTCCCTAAAATATTAACTGCTTGATTACATCCTATATAATAATATGTATAAGAAAAATTGTTCAGTTTTAATGTATAAATATTAGTATATGTGTCCTAAATTCGTAATAACCCATTGATCGATCAATAAATTAATGCCGATTTCACATTTCAAAATAATAGTAATACGAAAAATCATGATAAAGGATTGCTGATATTAATTTATATTTTTGTAGCAAGATATATAAATATACAAATAAATATATATTTTTTGGAGGAGAGAGTTGAATCCTAAATGAGTCTTGGACGGATAAAGATTGATCGGAAGAAGCAGGTAATTGTTGACCAGCTGCGCGAAGTCAAAGAAAAGTCAAAGATTGGTAGGACACGAGTTAGCACAATCGTGTGCTGTGGAATGACGGGGGTTCACACTTAGGACATGAACCCGGTTCAACTTGTCATCCATCGAGCCGCCCGGTTCATTTCATCGGCTCATTCCGACCTCCTTGGGCGGGGATCAATTTCCCATCGCGTAGGGATAACGGGAAAGAACCCGGTTCGTTCTTTCGTCTGGTCTATCGAAGCTGATGGTTCAACTCTTCGGCCCGGTCCGATTGTGTCAGCGTGCTATTAATTGTGAAGCGGTCTGTCTACCGGAGTGTACTCCACGCACGCGATCGCGGAGCTCCCACCCCCGCGGCTGCCTCCTAACGTGCGCACCTTCTCGCGCCGCCCCCCGTCCGGCCGCACCCGGTAACTTTCTCCTCGGGTTTTCTCGTCGGCCGGTGGATTTGCGCCTTTGTCGGCTTCGCTTCTTATTTTAATCGTTGCAGATGCAACATCGCAGGTCTAAGGTGTGGTGGGTTTAGCTGATCCCCTGGCTTGGAGCGCTAACGTGCGCCGTCGGTCCGGTGGCACTTTTTGGCTCGCCGGTCAAGATCTGAGGTGTGTTGCAATTTTCTTAATTTGAGTTCAAAATCGGATCTTTTTTCTTTTTTCCGATATGTGTTCTATGTGTAGTTTCTTGTTTGCTATGATTTGAGCTGCATGTTTCTTGTTCTTGATGAGCTAGACTCGGAGTCCTTTTGAGATTAGTTGGGTGGGCTAAGCGATGTCGTGTGCTGTCTTTTTCCTTGGCGGAGTTTTGAAGCTGTGCATTACCTTTTAGAAGAAAGAAATGCTTATAGTGTTGGACTTTCTTGATTGGGCTCGCTACAATTGTGTATCAGATCGAACTTCGTGTAGTTGCTTAGTAAAGGGGATATTTTGACGTTCAATTGTTACTTTCTCCTTTGGGAGTAGTATGTGGCGTCATAGCGCAATTAATTAGGTAATTGAGTTATCCATGACAGGCTCAGTTTGGTGTTATATACCAGAGGAAATCATGGAAAACAGCACAAAGTTAAAAGTGGAATATTGTTCCTAAAAATTTCATTCTGATTGTCTTGGGCTTGCAAATAATATACAAATTTATATAGCCATGTTTTCCTTGCTATATGTTTGTTAGACCTTTTAAATTTTTAGCTTCATGTTATTTGTATAATCTTTTGAAACAATCCCTTCTGCGGACTTTTGTTTATCTGTTGGTCAACGTTGCAAGTTGTAACTGAAATAAGGGTACTTGAAAAGATCCCTGTTGGTTCATATTAAGTTTCTTTAATTGTTCTAGTTTACTCTGAAAAATAGGTCTGTTTAACACAAAGGAGGCTTGTTATTGTAGTCGTGTTATTTTTGGCTGCAGTAGTGAATAACTAATTGAGATGGTGAGCATTTGGACCTAAGTTGTAGAACGATATGCAACAGTCAAACGAGGGGAATGAGAATATCTGTGTTGGTTGCAACTTGAAATCAAGCAAAATCAGCACACCCAACAAGAATTTTGGAAGAAACTATATTAGAAAATTTAACAGGTAAATGGTGGTACCATAGGGTCTGTTTCCACATACGGGCCTGTTACAGTTTAGGTAATCCACATCTGTTTCAAATTTAGAAATTTATATCGTTTTCTCGTCTGGGTTCGGTGTAAAGTCCGACTATGCTGAAGTTTATAGGGCTATAAATAGATATGTGTCAACCTTCTTGTATGCTACAAATTTTGATATGTTGCAGCATCTCCGCTTGTGTTTTTCATCACTTCTACTTATTTTTTATTCTATAGCATTAGGTGTATTTAATGGAAATAGCAGGGAAGGATTTAGAATTGTTTATAGTGAAATTGTGGGCAAAAGAATGGTAATGGATCTTATCCATCACTTCTAATGAGCATGACTGGATCTTATCCATCAAATTGGTCAAAAGAATGGTAATGGTCATCATTCTGCTTGGTTTAACCTGGCAAATTAAAATCTTGATTGGTGACTATTTATCTACTAATCATTCACCCAAGAAGGTTAGGGAAGTTTATGAAAGTCATATATGACTAGAAGTGGTTAAACCAATACCTAAATCCATTTGAGTGCAAATGCATCAGCAAAAAAATAATTTATGGGTAAATATTTTAAAAATATGCTTATATAGAATAGAAATTTTGATACTATGCTTATATAGTAATAGAATTTTCCAATCTTTAAATATTTAAAGGTTATATAGTAATACTATGCTTATATACTTTGCAACCTAGGAGACCAGGGTTCGAGTTACAAAAATAGCCTCTTTAAATATTTAAAGGTAAGACATCGTACATTGATCCTCCCCCGACCCCGCATTGGCGACAGCCTCATGCATTGGGTCCACCCTTTTTTAGAATTTTCCAACCTTTGTATTTGAATTTAGCTGTTCTTCCTGAAAAATTGTGTACTGTTGGACCTTTTGCATACTTATGCTCAAGATCATGGATTAAAGTATCATGGTGTGCTCAAGAGTCATAAATGTGATACTTCTTCTTTCCCCTTATTTGGCTAGTTAGTCACACAAAGGAGCATCACTCCCTAAGGATGAAATTTGAAAGCTTGATGCTGCTTCTCTTTAAGCTTGACTTATTCCAGCACCAATCCATAGAAGTTCTTGAATCTTTGAGTTCAGCTATATATATCCTGAAACATGATGCTGAACATTTTGTGAATGTTTGGCCTTGACTTGAACCTCCATATTGAAAGTGGATATACTATACTGAAAACTCATAAATGTGCTAGATCCAGCAATTAATTAAACATCTAACTCTTGTTCCTGCTGATTTGCCCCATTGGTAGGGTGATAGGCCCTGTTTTAGCAGCGCATCATGGGTTTGATCTCACTTGAGTGAACTTAGTGCATTTGTCCTTGCCTAGCTTTTAGTTTTGGTTGGCCTTTGTGGCCAAAATAGCCTTGAGAAGATCGTTATCTTTTATCGTATGAAAGCCACTGAAATCTTGATATTGACAAGCTATGTCAAATCTTATTAGTGAAAGCCATAAAGCAACAGTAGATTATGAAAATCAGACAGTTTAAAGGTGGTTTAAGCTACATGATGGAGGCATTATTTTACAAATTGATCAAGATTCATGATAGAGGATGAGTCCTGGTGTCACTGTGAGATTATTGATGTATGTGAGCTGGGCATCTAGGATTTGAGTCATGATAATAGCCTCTTGATAAGATGCATCTATGGACCCCTCTAGATCCTGCAAGAGCCTTATATGCCTCATACATGGACCCTCATATGAGGCAAGATGCCTCATACATTGGGTGCCTTTTTTGGACTCAAGATTCATGGTGGATAAGGGAAGATATAAGTTAAAGGGGACAAAATATGTAATGGTGTATTAGTCAATATAGAAGTTCTTGAATGTCGAGAGAACCAAGTTCTTAAATCAGAAAAAAGTAATGTAGTTGTTCTTTACTAGGCTCATTTATAGGATTTGTCCAAACAAAGATGATAAATTATGTGTTAGGTATGGATTTAAGTTCAAACCCCCAGACCCGTCTCATACTGTACTAGCTAGCATGGTTTGGTGCCACAAAAAAGAAGAGAGAAAATGCAAAATAAAAAGCTCAAAAATAATTAACTCATTGGTGTCAGACTTTTTGTCATCCTCTCCTCATGATACTCCTCTGCTCATTCTTGTCAGCCACTTTCTTCTCTGATTAGCAGCTAACAGAAGCGACATTTTCCAGGTGAAAAAGTCCGTATGGCATAAACCAAGTTTTATGTTTTATAGATCACCAGTTCATTCTTTCTAAGGTGGTCAAGTCCAATGAAAAGCTGGTTTAGACCATTTTAATCAGTCTGGAAAATTAGACCATTTTAATCCTGCAATTCGATTTTCCAAAGGAACAAGAAATATCAGGCAACACAGTACATTTTGGGCACAAATCCGATAAATCCATCACTGTAGGAACATGATTCCTTTTCATAATACTTGAGTAAAGATAAAAAACACCAAGTATTGTGTGTCTCCTTTATTGTATACCTAGTTAAATAAACAAAATTCTGATCGTGTTGACTACGTCTTCATCTCTATGAGGTTCTGAGCATAGTTCGCCTTACCGGTCCGTACCGGTGTACCGACCAGCTGTCGGTACAATACGTATGGAGCTATATCGAGCCATACCGAGCCGTACCAACACATGGTACATGTGGGTGTACCAATGAACCGCCCATATCGGTCCCCTGTTGGATTGGTATGTACCACTCGTACCAAACGGTATGTTATGGTACGGCAAACCTTGGTTCTAGGTACATGTTCTTGTGGATGAGATGTCGAAGTGTTTCACAAATGGTTCTCTAGGTGGAGGATTTCTCCACCTTTTTAATCTGAACCAAAGAAAATTTCTGTTTCTGTTTATATTAACTTTTGAATGATATATTTCCTCAGTCAAGTGTTTACTTTTGCAGGAAACCTTTTAATTCACAAAACACAAGGTCAACGTTCAGAGACATTGGTCGTTCAGTCATACCATTATGACTTGCTTCTCTTTCATATTTAAGAGGATAGGTTGTTCAGGACAACAAAGTGATCAGCATCTTGAAGGTAGACACATATCATGTTGAAATCTAAATAAAGTTTAATTTAGTTCTTTTTATTTGATATAAATTAGGATTCATATTTTCCATGTTCATGCCGACTGCATTCTGAAGAGTTCTTTCTACCTACAATGAGTTGTTGATTTTGTTAATCTTTTCTAGATATTCCAGGAATTGAAAATGTTAGAATCTACTCATACAAGGAATTGAGAAATGCAACTGGTGATTTTAGCCTCACCAATAAGGTTGGTGAGGGAGGTTTTGGTTCTGTCTACAAGGTGAATTCTTTGGACTTTGAATTAACTGTTACTATTTAAGTCAGGAAAAATTTCTACTGATTAGCTAACTTTGAGTTAATTGGTTTAGGGAAAGCTTAAAGATGGGAAGATTGTTGCTGTAAAAGTGCTATCCTCTGAGTCGAGACAAGGAGTACCAGAATTTTTGAATGAAATCGCTGTGATCTCTGGTATCGAGCATGAGAATCTTGTTAGTCTGCATGGTTGTTGCGTTGAAGAAACTCACAGAATACTTGTTTACAATTATCTTGAGAATAATAGCCTTGCGCAAACCCTTCTTGGTATCCTAATTTCCTGCTAGTGCTTTTTTCTTAATTAAGTGCTGATTTATACTTCTGATGCTATCAGATTATATTTTAAAGTATTGATTTTTCAGGTTCTGGCTGCAGTAATATCCAGTTCAACTGGAGAACACGGGTAAGAATTTGCATTGGTGTTGCTCGTGGACTTGCATTCCTGCACGAGGAAGTCCGGCCTCATATAGTTCACCGGGATATTAAAGCAAGCAATATTCTTCTTGATAAGGATCTTACTCCCAAGATTTCCGATTTTGGTTTAGCAAAGCTTCTGCCACCAAATATAACCCATGTCAGCACTCGAGTCGCTGGAACAATGTAAATTCCATTACTTTCTTTCTAGCTTATAATGATCTCAGTAATTTTCAGAAATAAACTCAAGTACAATAACAACTTCGAAATTGATTTGAAACTGCTAAATGTGCTCATGGTCTGATGTTATCACTCTAGAGCATGGAATCTGGCAGTTAGATGCAAAACAATATAAAAAATTAAAAACCACTTGCGTTCTGGGCCAACTTGGTTATCACCTTGTTTTCATTTTTTTAATTATTAAATTTTTTGTTTTATGCAGAGGTTACTTGGCTCCTGAATATGCAATTAAGGGGCAAGTGAATCGGAAGTCAGATGTGTACAGCTTTGGAGTACTCCTACTAGAAATAGTTACTGGCAGGTGTAACACAAACACAAGGTTACCTTATGATGAACAATTTCTACTTGAGAGGGTAAGAAAATTTACTCAGATAACGATGAATGTTTCTCTTTCCATATGAATACAAAAATATTTGTTTTATAGTTAGGCTTTATTTGGTTCATGTCAATCATATTTTTGTTGGAATGATTTTGTTATTCAAGTCCATAGGCCTAGGGTGGTACGTAACCAAATGTTCCATGTAATCATTGTTATTGATGATGACATAGAACTTAATATCATATAGGCTGCATGTATTCTGAGAAGAGTCATTACTTCAAGTTCTACAAACCAAATCTAAGGAAACACGTTTAGTTCTTATCTTTACTATTGGCACTTTTTATCACGTTATTCCTTATTCCTCCAGCAAGCTCTATCAAATTAAAAGTACAAACTAGGCACATCAAAGTATCTAAATTTTAATGTTTCTTTTAAATATTTAAATAATAGGTAACTACTTATACAGAAAACCGATGCATAACTGGGCACACCCAAAAAAATGTATGTATTTTACGTATTGCATAGAAAAGGAAAAAAGAAAACTTTGCTTCATATCTTGCCGCATTCTTTTTGTTATGCAGAATTGGAGACTTAAATGTAGTATACTTATAAATTCAGGTCATGCACACTAAGTATTGGTGTGCTTACTAAGTGCTTGGTAACCAGGAGAGTTACCTTTCCAAACATGAGGTACTTTTATTGCTGGCATACACTGTCAAAGAATGAGCTTTCCTAAAAAACAGAAAAAAAACCCACTTAGCTATATCAACACTTTTGCTTAGAAGAGCCATTACTAACCTTTCCAGTTCAAAGTATCCCACTACCTTCTCAGACTCTTGTGGGGAAAGTTTCCTCACAAAATAAAACAAAGGCTTTAGACTATAATGGCTCAATCTGGACTTTGCTGTTATGAAAATCACAATCCTTATGCTGGTTCCGTGGGGCCCAAAGGGAACTAGCTATCAAATTAAGAAGAATTCTCCCTGACTTCTTCCCCAAATCCTGCACCTCAGTAATCCAAGGACCAAGAGGCCATGCCCCAAAATAGAAAAGTTGATGCTTAAGTTTGGCCTGAATTAGTTGTTGGTAACTCAGAGCAAAGGGGCATTGAAAGAGAATGTGTCTGGCAGAATCAGAGGATTATTGACAAACAGAGCATCGGGATATAGGGTAGTTGGGTAATCTGGAGAACCATTCCGAGATTGGAAACTTACCATATAAAAGTTTCCATCGAAATATTTTGACCATAAGAACCACATTTAATTGTTACATTGTCCTACAGCCAGCACATCTGTCATTATGGGCAAGCCTCCCATCTTTAAGGGAAGAATAAAAAGTTTGTGCAATAGTAAAACAAGTTAGTAAGAGCAAAATTGTTCCACTGACTATTGTCAATCCATCCAGTCACCTTCTCATGCCTCATCATCTTATCCACATTTACTATATTTATATGTGTAGGTCACCTTCCTAGGGGAATGCTGATCATCCAAGGATGCTCCCATGTATTGTCACAAGTATCAACACCTGGAAAATTTGCTAAGCCTTCCCAACAAAGATCTAAATATGTTCTTTAGAATACCCATTCTGAAGGCAGAATGGTGAGGTTTCTGAAGGTTTTAAGGATTAGCATAAACAATCATAACCATTGAGAATAACAATGAACATACTTCTTGACAAGGTGCAAGTCTCTAATACCTAGCCTCCCAACATATTGGAGAGGTTGCTCTAACAAAAAGAATAACAAAATTTTGAAAATTGTACTATGAGTTATTAAAAAGAACCATCCTTGAATTCTACTAGATGCCTTTAGGATTTTTTGTTTAGGTATATGGGTAATTTAAAATAAATTACTATTTGATAGTCTAAACAAAGTTGTGATAGACAAATAATCTTTGAAGGAATATATTGAAGATACAAACCTAAGTGAGAGAATGAGAAAGTTTGCTAATTGTTATTTGACCAAAATCAATGGCTTCTATTCAGTAATTGTATTAATGAAAGTGATTAGATTTTTTTTAGGTTTAGATAGTTAAAAGTAATTGGTACAAATTATCATTAGTCTTGTGCAGAAATCTTATGCTGTTAGTTTTTGCCTATGCCTTTTTATATGCCTGTGCTTCTTTTTTATCATTACATCCCAGTCAACTGAAAATTGGTTCCTGTTAATGGGAAGCAACAACTAGTGTACAATCAGGCAAGATTTTGAAATTTGAACTACTCTTTAATTACTATATCATTACTTTGTTTCAATATTTACAAGATCTTCAATATGTTTTAATTTATTATGCATGCTAAGAAGAGGGAAAACTGGTCATTTTTTAAATATGTTAATTTTTAATTTTCAATAGGTTACTTCTTTTATACATTATATACATAATGGCTTTCTCACAGATTTCACGTCAAAAAAAAAACAAAAGAACAGCTTAAACTTTTGTCTGCTTATTCAAATGTGTTAAACCACTGATGAAGTTTTGCTAAATCTGAATCTCATCATGAGAAACCTACATTAGTATTCAAAAGTAAACCTATGCTTAGACTCCTCATATTGCATAATTGAATAATCCATAGTCCCAGACATAATTCTTAGACTTCTCATATTGCAGACATGGAATCTATACGAGCATGGTGAGATCGCAAACATCATAGATACTTCGTTAACTGATGATTTAGACGTCGATGAAGCTTGCAAGTTCTTGAAGGTTGGGCTTCTTTGCACACAAGACACTGTGAAGCTTCGCCCTTCAATGTCTAATGTTGCCAGGATGCTGACTGATGAAAAGGATGTCAACTTAGAGAAAATCACAAAGCCTGGACTACTTAGTGACTTGATGGAACTTAAAGTTAGAAACCAGAACAATGTTAATGATCCCCATACGACCTCCCTCGTAACATCTGGTCATGGTAGTTCACTCTTGTCATCAGAAAATACTACACATGCATCCATGACCTTCACAGTGATATCAGATTGAGCTGAAACATCACTAAGAAAAGAATTCATCTCGAGGTACATAACTTCATGTATAGTCCATGTAACTTTTTTTTTTGTGAAAAAAAAATTCTGTTGTTTGATCCTTGAGTACATGTTCTTTTTTTTCTAAATACTCTGGGATACCGATAGTTGTCGATCTGGGTATTTGCTGGAGCTTAAAAGACTTGAAGGCAAATTTTTTTTATCTTGAGCATCAAGATGGAATTAATGCTCGATTATTTTTAGATGATCACTTTTAAATGAATGAGATTATTGTTGCTGTACCTGATATTGTATGATTTTTAAAGTGCTTAGGCATAGGCCAACTTGTACTTTATATCCTTCTATTACTACTGGTATGAGATTATTGAATGAAATGGCAATGCTTATTAAGTAATGCTTGCAGTCATATTTCCCTGTCTTGGTCAGTATGTTGCTTATGTGAGTGAACGCCTTAGCTAAGGCTGTTTCTTCCAACCCCGTCTTGGTTTGTATGTTGTTTACGTGAGTTAAAAATTTGTGAAATGCCTTCGAGTTATAAATTCTATCATAGCTAACTCGTGGGCAATGGGAATGCTATCATCTAAGGATCTGCTAGAGATGAAAGATCAATCAGAGGTTTCAACCTGCTGGTAAGAACCTTGGCAAGAATTTTGTAGACCATATTGCAAAGAGCAATAGGACTAAGAAAAGAAACTTAGGAGGGATTTTTTTTTCTTAGGGATTAGAACGAGGAAAGTTTTAGCCCAGTTCAGAAGAATATGTTCAAGCAAATGGAACTCATTGAAGGCATCATGGAGAGAGGGATGCAAAATATTCTAGTTAGTGTCTACTGTCAGGTTGTTCATGCTCTGAGGCTTTCAAGATAGTTGCTTGGTTCCCTACAAAACCTTCATGAAGAGCTTGGACAGGCTCTTCACTGATAGAAGTATGTGAAAAATAAAATGATGCAGGAGAAGGTTCAATGGACATCAACTAATCACTGTCTTTTATGCCTCTCATTCAATGTGTGTTCTCAAAGAGTGTAGTATCATTTCATAAAGGTTCAATATCTCATAATAGGCTCTGTGCAGATCATTGTACTTCTCAACCATGCTTAATACTCCTGCCTATATTTGCAGTTCCTACTTTGGTTGCATCATGCAAATACATCTCGGATTCGTTGTTTAATTTGCATGCAGCAATTTTAGACTTATATAGAGAACTGATGTAATGCTTTGGAATGCAATTGCCAGGTCCTGTGGATTCAAGATCTCTTCAACCACTAATCAACCACAGCAATCATTTGTCTGCTATGAATCAGCTTGCACTGCTGAAGAGCTTCTCTGAGAATGAGATACCCTCCTTGATTTCAAAGCTAGGAAAAGGAACACAAGAATCTTGAATCAATACCACCTGCTTTGTTGCTCAACTGGATATGTATGAACAAGTTTGGCAATCTGTTGCTGTCACATGAAACTTCATTCTTTCTCCTCATAACAATTGACCTTTCTTGTTCTGTCCAAATAATGCAATTGGAAGCACGAATACTGTTGTTCTGTTGTTAGTGGTTGCCTTTGTGTTAATAACCCGACTTGATTTGAATTGAATCTCATCCACAGGAGAGTCCTAGATCTCGTCCAATATCTTAATCTCTCGAGATGGTGCTAATCGTGAGACATCCATTCTATATACAAAGATCGATATCGGGAGTGGGTTGAATTTGATCCATGGGAGGGCCTTGGGTCTCCTCCACATTTTGATCTCTCGAGGTGGTGCTAATCACATGACACTCATTTTGCACAAAGATCGATGTTAGGAGTGAGCTACTGATGTTATTATTTTGACAGAAGGTAGAGAGAGAAAGAGACAGTTCGAATTCTACTGACATAACAAAGCTATAGTTGAGATCTTTTGTTGTTTTCTGTTGATGTGACTATGAGAAAGCTCGTATCAAATATGATGAACTGTGATTGTTCAGTCCAGTCATGTGAGGGAAATGACCAACCTGCTCTTTTGGCCTTTGATTCACATAAAAGTGAGTAATAATTTTCTACCAATTTGTGCTTTATCTTTATCTAAACTTGCCTAATTGAGATTTGGATGAGTGGATTTGGTAGTCAGATTGCCTTCAAGTAATCAAAACTCTTTCTAAATTCCACCCAAACAACTTTAATATTACTGACATCAGTAAATTGATTTTGCTTCTATTATGGATTGAAATCAAGGAAGAAACAACTCAAAGAGTGATACATTGAATTGGGATTTTAGATCTCAGAGGTGCCCAACTAATCTTTGGCATGGATGGTTAGTGAATCTTGACCTCTCTTTATCATCTAATATTAACATGTAATCTCTCTCCCAGTGTACACTTTAACATCAATTTGTTGAGTTAAAAATGTCTATGAAAATATAAAAGAAATACCTAAAGGATGGTTAAAGGTTTCATACATATATATATATA